TTGTGGTAAACAACTGCTGGATGCCTTTGTTAATCACTATGCCCTTGCTATTGGTGACAATGCTGTTGGGCTTGATGGTATTGGGAGCCTCCTTTAGGATCTTCTGGCTGATAATCAATGGGCTGGCGCCGGCTGCTAATGGAAGAGCAAACAATATACATTAATATCTGATAGCTTTAGTGGGTTCTAAATCTTGTTACCATTTTTGATGGGTTCCACTTGTAGCTGCAGTTGCTGTTGCTGCTGCTGTTGTTGCTGCTGTTGTTGCTGTTGTTGCTGCTGCTGTTCGGCAAAGTTGCCCTCGTTGTCCGCAAACACAATGGGCATGTCTATGATATTGGATAAATCCATGCTGTTGGCTATGCTTGGCGATGCCGCCGGCGTATTTTTGGTCATTTGCAGCATTGTTATGCCGCTGGCATTCTTAACCACCGTATACTTTTGCTGGGCCGCCGCTGGTGTTGAGCTGGCGGCGCCGGCGGGCGCAGCGGTCACAAACTGTGTCGTTTGGCCCGTGGGCGTTTTAAGCGTAAAGATCTGCTGGCCACTGGATGCGGGCAAGGTCTTCACAATGCTGCCAATGCTCGTAGTGCCCGCCGCTGTGGGGCTGCTGCTGCTAGTGTTGCTGTTCTTGCTGATGGTGTAGTTGACCAGTTTACTCTGCGTGGGTAGCGCCTTCAGCTGCACAAACTGGCTGGAGGGTATCATCTTGATCTTGGTGCCTGTTGACAGCGAAACGGTGGTCGGCGGGGGCTTGACCACACTTGGCGTTGGCTTCACAACAGCCGGCGCAGGCATTGACGGCTGATTATCATCATATTCAAGTGTTTCCTCCAAGATAGACTCAATGGACATGTTCATCTCCTCGTTGCTCAGCGAATGCTTCTCCGCCATGCTTGGCTTGATCGCAGTGGGCACGCCACCGGGCAGTGGACGCGTGCGTGGGCGCCCAACTGTGGAAATGGTTACTGTTAGTCGATGAAACGGAGGAATGATCAGCATATTAAGACAGGGACCGTAAATATAAATCATGAGTATGTATGAACGTTAAAATTATATTAAAAATAAGGCGAACATTATGCATAATGGTTAGTTTGATGAATAACTAAAAATGATGCATACAAATACAGTGAAAGCTCCCTAAGACAGACACTAATGAAATTAACTAATAATAAATCATTACTTTAACTAATTCTGAGCGCTTTATATGAACTTGTATAGTTTGGGTTATCAAGGGGATCGAAAAGTGAGCTGTCCATTAGAAGAGCTTTTACTGTAGTTAGTTGAACATGCAAGGACTCATAACCGTTACGGTCCCTGATATGAGGAAGAAGCCAGCGATGGTCTTTGTCGCAGCTTTCACACTTTGGATTTACCCTTTCGCTTGACCGCAAACGGATCAATGAGTCGCGGCGGCTTTGGTTTGGGCAATTTGGGAGCGCGCACTTCTGATTGATTAGTGGGAGTTAGTGGATTGGTGCAAAATGATTTTTTTTATGGTTTTTGGGGGAGAACGTGCAACGTGCGGCAACATGCAATAGGAGAACGGTTGGATTACGGGTAGGCAAAATAATTAATAATGATGTTAAGATGATGATCAAATGTTTAAAGTGCAATTTAAAGTTGAACATTCTACTCACTGTGCGGCACGATTTTGGATTTGGTGGCCTGCATGCTGCCCTCCTCTTGCCCGTCATGGGCTTTGCGTTTTCGCGCTGATGCGAGCGGCACCTTGTTGATAGTGCCATCTGCCAGGATATGCTGCTGTTGTTTGGGCTGTCGCTGGTACGAATTGCTGCCTAGCAGCGAAGTGGGCATGCGCGGACCCGGCGGATTGCTCAGCGTCTTATTAACAAACTCGTAGACCTCATCCTGCAAAGAATTGCGGAGAATGTTTATATATCACAACGAATTTCATATTTATTTGTAGAAGACCTACCACTACCATGGAATCCACCATGGCTTGAGTGACACCCTCAATGCGTCGCTTGCTTTTGGGCACACGCAGCGCATCATCCGCACTGCCCACGACGACTAGCGAGGATTCAGATTGCATGCGCTCGCGCAGACCCTCCATTTCTTCTTGGCTGCTGCGTGCCGCATTCTGACCGATGACGAACAAAATGGGAGCCTTTATATCCAGCAACCGATCATCCGGAGCACCGCGCGGTCCGCGCAACGTATTGTACGCAAAACCCATGCAAATGACGCAAGCAACGCTCTCCGACATGGCCACTTGAAGGGCCAGAGCTGAGCCGGCATTGAAGCCAATCAGAATGATTCCACGATTAGGATTCTCAGTGCGTAGCTCATGTATGCGTACGCGTGTCAGCGAGACAATTGTCTCGGCCACTTGGTCCAGATTCTGGCGTCCAATGCGGTCATCTGTGCAGCATAAATTACAGAATAATAATAAAATATGCCAGGCCATGCGTCCAATAAGCTACTTACTCGTATTGGGCAGCGTGATTTGGACAATTTGTGTTATGCTGGCCAAGGATTGATACCAATTTTGCATGCGCTCCGGCACTGGGCCACTGGTGGGCATATTAGGCACCGCAACCATTATGGCATTGTGGGCCAGATGACGCGACTTGGCCAGAATTTCCGGTTGCCAACGCTTTTTCATAACTGGGGCAAGCAGCTCTTGGCTAGTGTTCAGCGGCCGACTGAAGAGCATTTTATCAATGAGTGTGGGCAGCTTGCTTTTCAGAGTTTGTATAATGTCTAGATAGGAAGCCATATACGAAGGTGGCAGCTGTTCCATGAGCAGTGCATGCAGCCACTGCGTGGTGCGTGGCTCCCAGGCAATGCTGGCCAAAGCGCGACGCATGCGTGAACTGGATTTGTCAACGGCCACCCGCCGATGCACTGCCTCATTCTGGCGCTTATCGTTGGCAAGTCGCGCCAATTGATCCTGATCCAATATGGTCGCAACTTTATCAAACAGTGTTTCCTGCATATGTGTCCAGCCAACACTAAAAAGAGGAAATAGTTTATAATTTTATTAAATTATTCAGTATTTCGATGAAATACACTAACCGGTTGATGCGTGCCTGCCAATCCTGCTCATCGGAATTACTGTTTCGCACATATTTGGCAATGCGTGCGCACTCGTTCATCATTTCCTTTGCCGCAATCTCATCGTATGGCGGAATATGTGCCGACTGCTGCGCGTCACCAGACTCCTCATGAGCTGGATACGTGTGGCAGGTGGGGCACTGCGGCGCATGGCGCACCAGAATGGTGCGTGCCGGTGCTAGGCCATTGTTTATGGTGTTGTCCGGGCGCGGAGCATCGCGCATATAGGTGTGCTCCATGGGGGCTGTTTCGCTGGGTGCCGAAATTGTGCTGGACTGCAATATATAGAAACAAATATTTAGAAGGAAAGCACAAAAGACAAGTAAGATTACAAGATAATTTGGTAATAGATCAAATGGAGTTGGATGCTAGTAAGGATTCAAGTGTGAGTGACTCATGCAGGACAGATTAGTGCGCGTGCTTTAGAATCTGAAGTGAGGAGTAGAATGACGTATTATTACACTCTCTGTTGAAATCGGTGCAGACGCGGCTGCTGCAGCTGCTGCCGCCGCCGCCGCTGCTGCTGTTTTGGGTGGCGAGCTCAATATGGACGCGGCGCTACCCAGCTGGCCCGCCTTAACCACATAATATGAGGTGTTTGCGGCTCCAGCTGTGGGTATTTTGGCCGTTGCTGTCGTTGTTGCTGCTGCTGCTGGAGCCGACGCTCTGGCTATATGTGTGTGCGTGTGTGTGTGGGTTTGTATTTTTGTGTATGGGTTGCCAGCCCTGGCAATAAATTTGCTCGGGCTATATGTAATAATCGAGGTGTTTGTGTTGGCCGACTGCATCTTTGGTTTCTTCTCGACCACCATAATTTCGTTTTTATTGTTTTTCGTTTGCTTCATTGGCAGCATTTTGTGTGTAGTTTTTGTTTTTTAATTATTTGTTTTATTTGGTTACTCGCTGGCTGCAGGTTTTCTTCTTCTTAGGCTGCGTTGCAGCGCCCTTGGCGGTGTTTTTCAATATACACAAACTATTAGCACTTGTCTATTGCAGAATCAAATTTCAATCGATGTCGCGATATTGTTATTTTTTTTTAATTCCTTTGTTTTTTAAGTTTTCCTCAACAAATTAGTTCCTGCGTCTTTGCAATTAAAACATGGCGTGTGCTTTGGGCGTTGCCAGAATGGTCCGATGAAAAGTGTATGTAACTGTGCGCATGTCTGGCAACTCCAAACACTGCTAGCAATTGCCCCCTAAGCTAAGCAATTTCGCTACCATATATTTAACAACGCAACATTCCCGCCGTATTATAAGATTACAACTTTATGATAAATCTATCTACTTACTGTATCACTGGGTGTAGGCGTTGCAGGCGGCATATTAGTAATATTCGGCGGAAGATGCTGTTCGCTCTCTTCATGGGCGACATTCTGTGCAACATGTCCACCGCTTTGCACGAAATTGTTGAAGCACTCGAAAAACGAGGACATTTCCGAAGCGTTTTGTAAACAATTTCTCACTTGAACTCAAACGTATATTTTGAAACTTATAAACAAAATCCAAAACATTAAAAAGCGAGCGTAGCTAGCTCAAAATATGTCAAGAGTACAAAAGTGTTGCCACTCTATGTACTAACGGCGTTTTACAGCACTGTCCGCCAAATAGCTGTTTCGTTTACGTTTGATATGAACGCAAGTCGTGTTACTGTAGTGGGCATACAAATTTCTTTTTCGATATGAATGAAATAAGGTACAGGCAGATATATACGATGTTTTTCAGCCATAATTTCAGCAAAGATTTAATATTTTTTTCCAACAATAAAATGAATTTGTATTTAAAATAAAGTATTTTAACAAGAGTACCATATAGTTCATCAAGTAATAGTTTTGCTACATTATGCCGCGACGAAAAGGTATCGCATCGTGTTTTGCACGAGCTCATCCCTAGTTGGCGTGCTCATTTTGTTTAAATTTTCTTTCGAAACGTTTTGTGTCCGTTTTATAAACTTTATTGAATTATTGTCGCAGTGTTTGCGTTCATTTTGCAAAATGGACGAGCTGCAGCAGCTGGAGTACCTGTCGCTGGTATCGAAAATCTGCACAGAGTTGGACAATCACTTGGGCATCAATGACAAGGACCTGGCCGAATTTATCATCGATCTTGAGCACAAGCATCGCAGCTACGATGCGTTTCGCAAGGCGCTCCTGGAAAATGGCGCAGAATTTCCCGATTCGCTTGTGCAGAATTTACAGCGCATCATTAATTTAATGCGGCCTAGTCGTGCTGGTGGCGATGCAAAGGCAATGAATGGAAAGGACAGCAAAGGGGACAAACAATCGCAGCTAATCAAAATGTTTCCCGGGTTAGCTTTGCCTAATGACAAATTCAGTAGCAAGATGTCGGAGGAGGATGATGAGAAAGAGCAGCAGGGTGTCAAAGAGCCCAAACAGAAAAAAAACGAAATGAGTGACGTGGATGCGGCCATGCTGGAACTGGAGGCTCTGGCACCAGGTGACAGCAAAGAACAGAGGGATGGCAAAGAGAGCAAGCGGCGGCAACGATCCAGTTCACGTGAGCGGATTAAACGCAAAGAGCGCAGTCGGAGTCGTGACAAGGAGCGGGATAGGGACAGGCAGAGAGATAAAGAGCGGGACAGGGATAGGCAAAGAGATAAGGATCGGGATAGGGATAGCAATCGGGATAAGGAGCGGGATAGGGACAGCCATCGGGATAAGGAGCGGGATAGGGATAGCAATCGGGATAAGGAGCGTCGTCGCAGGCGGAGCAGATCCCGGGAGGATCGAGATCGGGATCGTGATCGTCGCAGGCGTCGCTCCAGTTCACGGGAGCCGCATCACGACAGACACGAACAACGAAGACGACGCTCTCGTTCCCGATCCCGCGAACGCAGCAGCCGTCAGCAACAGGATAAAATGCCGCCACCGGCAGCTGCCATGAGCGATGATCCAGAACTTGGAAAAATCTATTCCGGCAAGGTGGCCAACATAGTGCCATTTGGTTGCTTCGTGCAGCTGTTTGGGCTGCGCAAGCGCTGGGAAGGTTTGGTGCACATCTCGCAGCTCCGCGCCGAGGGTCGCGTCACCGATGTGACCGAGGTGGTTGCCCGTAATCAGACGGTCAAGGTTAAGGTCATGTCGCTGACGGGCCAAAAGGTTTCACTTTCCATGAAAGAAGTGGATCAGGAGAGCGGACGCGATCTCAATCCGCTGTCGCATGCACCAGAGGAGGATGCGGTGTCTTTGCGTGATCGCAATCCTGATGGACCCTACAGCAGCACATCCTCCATGCTCAATCTGCAGGGCAATAACATTGATGGCGACGAGCACGAGTCCCGCAAGCGCGTCACACGCATCTCCAGTCCGGAGCGTTGGGAGATTAAGCAAATGATAAGCTCCGGTGTTCTGGATCGCAGCGAAATGCCGGACTTTGATGAAGAGACGGGCCTGCTGCCCAAGGACGAGGACGACGAGGCGGACATTGAAATAGAAATTGTAGAAGAGGAGCCACCATTCCTCTCCGGCCATGGACGAGCACTGCACGATCTGTCGCCCGTGCGCATTGTCAAAAATCCGGATGGCTCGCTTGCCCAGGCAGCAATGATGCAGTCAGCGTTGTCCAAGGAGCGACGCGAGCAGAAAATGCTGCAACGGGAACAGGAAATGGAAGCCCTGCCCAGCAATCTCAACAAGAACTGGATCGATCCACTGCCCGAGGATGACAGCTCACGCCATCTGGCGGCCAATATGCGCGGCATGGGCGCCACACCCCAAGAGGTGCCCGAATGGAAGAAGCATGTGATTGGCGGCAAGAAATCCTCTTTTGGCAAGAAAACGGATCTGACGCTCGTCGAGCAGCGCCAATCGCTGCCCATTTACAAGCTGCGCGACGATCTCATAAAGGCCGTCACGGACAACCAGATACTGATTGTCATTGGCGAAACGGGCTCCGGCAAGACCACACAGATTACCCAGTATTTGGGCGAATGCGGCTTTACAGCACGGGGCAAGATTGGCTGCACACAGCCGCGTCGTGTGGCCGCCATGTCCGTGGCAAAGCGTGTGGCCGAGGAGTACGGCTGTCGCCTTGGCCAGGAGGTGGGCTACACGATACGTTTCGAGGATTGCACCAGTCCCGAGACGGTCATCAAGTACATGACAGACGGCATGTTGTTGCGCGAGTGCCTCATGGAGGCGGAGCTAAAGACCTACTCGGTCATCATGTTGGACGAGGCGCACGAGCGCACTATACACACGGATGTGCTCTTCGGTCTGCTAAAGACCGCCGTGCAGAAGCGGCCGGAACTGAAGCTAATTGTCACCTCGGCAACGCTGGATGCGGTCAAGTTTTCGCAGTACTTCTTCGAGGCGCCCATTTTTACAATACCCGGACGCACGTTTCCTGTCGAGGTGCTGTACACCAAGGAGCCGGAGACGGACTACTTGGATGCTTCGCTGATAACTGTCATGCAAATCCATTTGCGCGAACCACCAGGGGACATACTGCTCTTCTTAACGGGTCAGGAGGAGATTGACACCGCCTGCGAGATACTCTACGAGCGCATGAAGAGCCTAGGACCAGATGTGCCGGAGCTAATCATATTGCCCGTGTATTCGGCGCTGCCCTCCGAGATGCAGACTCGCATCTTTGATCCAGCGCCCGCCGGCAGTCGCAAAGTGGTGATTGCCACAAATATAGCGGAAACGTCGCTGACAATCGATGGCATCTTCTATGTGGTTGATCCCGGCTTTGTAAAACAGAAGGTCTACAACTCGAAGACGGGCATGGACTCGCTGGTGGTCACGCCCATTTCGCAGGCAGCCGCCAAGCAGCGTGCCGGCCGTGCGGGCCGCACTGGACCCGGCAAATGCTATCGCCTCTACACGGAGCGAGCGTATCGGGATGAGATGCTGCCAACGCCAGTGCCAGAGATCCAGCGTACCAATCTGGCCACCACAGTACTCCAGTTGAAGACGATGGGCATCAATGATTTGCTGCACTTTGATTTCATGGATGCGCCGCCGGTGGAGTCGCTGGTCATGGCTTTGGAGCAGCTGCACTCGCTCTCCGCGCTGGATGATGAAGGTTTGTTGACGCGTCTCGGTCGCCGGATGGCCGAGTTTCCGCTGGAGCCGAATCTCTCCAAAATGCTCATCATGTCCGTGGCGCTGCAATGCTCTGACGAGATCCTAACAATTGTGTCCATGCTCAGCGTGCAGAACGTGTTCTACAGGCCCAAGGACAAGCAGGCGCTGGCCGATCAAAAGAAGGCCAAGTTCAACCAGGCCGAAGGTAAGCTCTCACGTTCAACCTATTTGGGTTGATTTGACAATAAGTGAATGAACTTTCAAAGACGACTTTAGAAGCGGGTCGGATGAAGAACAATTTTCTACCCTACTCCATTACAATAATTTTTACTAATTAAATTATTATCCCTACAGGTGACCATCTGACACTGCTGGCCGTTTACAACAGCTGGAAGAACAACAAGTTCTCGAATGCCTGGTGCTATGAAAACTTTGTGCAAATCCGGACGCTGAAACGTTCGCAAGATGTGCGCAAACAGCTGCTGGGCATCATGGATCGCCACAAGCTGGACGTGGTGTCTGCGGGCAAGAACTCGGTGCGCATACAGAAGGCCGTCTGCTCGGGCTTCTTTCGGAATGCAGCCAAAAAGGATCCGCAAGAGGGCTATCGCACCCTGGTCGACTCTCAAGTGGTCTATATACATCCATCGAGTGCGCTGTTCAATCGCCAGCCCGAGTGGGTCATCTACCATGAGCTGGTGCAGACGACCAAGGAGTATATGCGCGAGGTGACCACAATTGATCCCAAATGGTTGGTAGAATTTGCGCCATCGTTCTTCCGCTTCTCGGATCCCACCAAGCTCAGCAAGTTCAAGAAAAACCAACGGCTGGAGCCGCTCTACAACAAATACGAGGAGCCAAATGCTTGGCGCATTTCGCGCGTGCGCCGACGCCGCAATTAAGTTGGACAGTTTTTGTCTAATTCGTGTTGTATTTAGTAAACGCTAAGTAACAAATAAAATAAGTTTAAAGTTTCCGGAGACACCATGCTGAGTTTTTAGTAGCCCTTGTGGCCGCGAAAGCGTTGCCGATTATCCAGCTGGAATGTTTTATATTACTTTGGGTTACATATGTGGCTACTGACCACTTACCAACGAGCGTTTGCACTCATAAAAGGTGTTTCGCAGCACCTGACACTCGGGCGGCACATTGTTGTCCTGCAGGCATTGTCGGGGCGTCTTGCGATCCAAACGACAACAGTCGCTCTCCAGCAAGCACATTTTCAGATCTGCACGGACGCCAGCACAGGCTGTTTCATCCGCCAGCTTTTCGTTGCCTTCGTAGCGCATCATTTTATAAGAACTTTGAGTATTACAAGTGGTTGTTTTGAATTCCAATGCACAAAACAAAATTTGTTATAAAATCAGCCAAAGCAGCTGTTTATTGCGGCTGGTTGCAGTGTTGCCAGACACCCGATTGGGAAGAGAAATTGAAAATAATGTATTCATAGATTGTACAACACAGTTTCCTTGTTTTGCTGTTTCTCAACATTGATTACCAAAAACAATCGAAATAGCGACTTATCGATATTTTATACAGTAGTTTTTCGTGAAGCCAACTGCGATTCCGGCAATTTGTTTAAATGTAGTTTCCAATTGGTTGAGAATGCACCAAAATAAAATGGTTTATGATGAACGCAGCGATGGCAGCAGCTCGAGCGATGCACAGGAATGTTTTCAGCGCAGCATGTCAACCAAAATGGGCACACAGCAGGTGACAATGCCCAAACATATACCCTTTCCGGAGCACGCAACCACATCCGAATGGCTAAGTGAGCTCATTATGTGCGCCTTTACCATGGGCGCAGCCATTGTGCAATTCATAAACATTTATCGCACAAACTGGTGGCTGCCACAGTTCCAAACGCGGCACATGGTGGTAAGTGTTGCTGCTAATCTTTATTTGCCGCAGTCCTCAAATAACATTGTCCACTTTCAGAACATTGAGCTAATCGATCCATATTTACGCTATCTCATACTCATACTGAATACGCGACGGTTCCTGTACTGCATGCTGCTGGCCAAGTGGAAGAGCCACGAGCGTCGTCTGGTCCGTTTGGGCATCAAGTATGGCTTTGGTGGCCTCGTCCAGCTGGGTCTGTGCTACTGCGCCTTCAGGCTCTATCAGCAGCACACCTACATGTTGCTCTTCTATCTCAGTTATCCGTAAGCAGCTGCGTACTTGGCCCACTTCCTACTACATGTAGCTTTTTCCTTTTCAGTGTGGTCGTGTATCTAATCATCTTTGGCTTTCAATTGGAGCCGTTTCTTCGCACTAGATTCGAGGTGCCCGGCGTCTATATCAACGACATGCCCGTGCATAGCTGCACCACGAATGCCGTCCAAATTCGCGACGAGATTGAAATCCTGCGACATGACTTCAATAAGCGCTTTAAGCAGTTAATTTTCACCTGCATGCTGAATGCCTATCTGGTGCTGATACCCTGTCTCCTGGCACTCAGCGTGCAGTATAATGTAATGCGCGCCGCCCAGCATTGCATTATTGTGTGCCTGGGTGCGTTTAGCTTGTCTGCGGTCTTTCTGTACCCGGCCAAATACAGCGATACTCTGCATCGTGCCACCCTTCATCTGGGCAGCTGGCAGCGTATGGACCGCGATACACAGGGAGTGCCGTCGCAGCTTATCGTGGCAGCCAATGCTCAGACCTGGGCAAAGTACACAGTCTACGGCCATGGCACTGTGGTGAAGCACAATGGAGCTCTCTACCGCAGCCATGGCCTGGTCACGGTGGCCACGCCGGGCAACGCCAGTCATCTGCGTTTCTATGTAAGTAAATATATATAAGCAGGAACTCTAGCTCACATATTTCGTTGTGCATTTACAGAAACTGTTCCATAATCCCACTGTCATCTACTCCACGTTGGCCACGCTGCAGGCAGCCGTGCTGCTGGTGGAGATTGCTTCGTTAAGCGCGGCCAGCATTGAATGGCATTTTGTGCTGTCCATTAGCTTTGTGGCCTTCACCAGCATGGTCGCTTTCTTTAAACTGGTTCGAGATTATCTCATCACCAAACATCTCTACAAGGCAGAGTGTTCCACCATTTACAATTAAGCCATCTACAAGCACCTACATATATCAAAGAACTCCTAGCAGTGTCATGCCAAAAAGCCACGTTATCAATGTATATCGAATATACGCTAGATTTCAATATCGATCTATATAAAACATTTCATCCTGATTTACTAATTAAAGCTATATTTTCCATAGCATTTATCGCTATTGGATTCGATTCGCTTCAAACTCACTTTGCCAAATGTTCAAATATGTTTAGGAAGTCAGGTAATGTGCTCTTGAACAAGTATAAATATATTGAGCTGAAGAAATATAAATTTTTATATAACCTATAAGTTACAAACTATTCTGGCTTAATTTTAAATGACAGCTAATGTTTTACTCCAATTCGACGACTATACGATTACTAATTTAGTTTGTGCTGCTGGAGGCGCTCTTTTGCGGGTCATAAACCCAGGAGCTGCCCTTCTTGTGGTCGCGAACACTGAAGCCATGTCGTTGCAGCAGATCCCGCAGCCTATCACATAGGCCTAACAACTGAACGTTTTTGACATTGCCATTCACAGCCTGCTCCCGCAGCTGGCAACGTATGGCCAGGACATCCGCAATGAGCGCGTTGATGTCGACGCGAGCTGTTGCATCGGCTGGTTGTAACTGTTGCTGTTGAATGGCGGCCAGCGGACTGATGCCAAAGTTGAGCATGGCTACGCTGATAAAGTTGCCCGCTGCCAGCAGCAGGTCTAGACAGTGTGCCGGATCCTGTTGTGCATCTGCTTGCTGCTCGTTGATGCAGCGACTGATGCTGCTCATCTGATCTAACAACACGGCAATGCAACGTGCCGTATCAAAATCATCACGCAGGCTATTATCGAACTCCTGAACCATGTGCTTTAGCTGCGCCTGCAGCGCGCCCTGGTCGAGTAACTTGAGCGGCTTCTGGAACTGCATGTAGGCGCTGAGATCGGCGTGGAAGTTCTTGAACTTGCGCAGCGTTTGCCGTGCTGTCAGCATCAGCTGGTCACTGTACTGCATGGCGTTGCGATAGTTGGACAACAGGCAGGCCATGCGAAACTCATCCGCTGTGTATTTTTGCAGCAGCTGCTCTACGGTTACGGTGTTGCCCAAAGATTTGGACATCTTCTGCTCCTCACCTAGCAAATGCAGCTGGCCGGTATGCAGCCAGTAGTTGACCCATTGATCGGTCTGGAAGTGTGCACAACATTGTGCCTCCTCGTTCTCGTGATGGGGAAAGCGCAAATCAAGGCCACCCGCATGGAAATCCACTTTGTTGCCAAAAAACATGCCGGCAATAGCACTGCATTCAATATGCCAGCCAGGTCGTCCGGCGCCACCCCAGGACGCAGGCCAGCTGGGCTCGTGCTCCTCCTTTTGCGCTTTCCACAGCGCAAAGTCCGCAGCATTACGCTTGCCCATCTCCGCTACCGCCTGCGGCTGTTTGCTAATCTTCTCCAGCTTGCCGTAGTTTGCATATTTGGATACATCAAAGTATACCGAATTATCCTGGGCCATGTAAGCCTGCTTATTATCCAGCAGGTGCTCGATGAAGCGCTGGATGACGGGAATATTTGCGGATACGTACGCGCGCAAATTGGGCGGCTTCACATTCAGCCACATCATGTTCTCCTTGAACTCTGCATCGTAGGCGTGTGCTAGCTCTCGCCAATTGCGACCGGTCTCCTGGCTACGCTTGATGATCTTGTCATCGACGTCTGTAATATTCATGGCCGTCACCAGATTGTACTTAAAGTGGTCCCGCAGTATGCGCTGTATTATGTCCACCTTGACATAGGTGCTGGCATGCCCCACATGCGTCTTGTCATACACCGTCGGACCACAGGTGTACCAAGTGACCATCTGGGGATTGCGCAGCACCAGCGGCACTTTGCCGCGCACACTATGATTGTATATGCGAATGCCGGTATCCTCCCCGCAGGGCCTTTGCCAACCGCCAAACGCAGATGCAGGCGGTGCCGGTTCGGCGCCGCTGCTGAGCTTACGAAGCCACCATTGGGAGTTGCGCAGCTGCATGCATTCTTCTAGGCGGCAGCTGATAAAAGGGAATATAAGCGTCTGCCATGGATCAGCATTGATCTATCGATCTACTTACAGTTTCAACATAATCTCTGTTTCTCCACAATAATTTTAAAATGTTTGATCTACATACGTACAAAGTGTCTTGCTTAAATTTATAACAACAGCTGATAAACGATTGACAATTGTTGCACAGCGTCGAAACTATCGATACTTTTAATTTTTACCGCGATTACTTGCTACAGTCGAGAACTATCGATATAAATACGTCCATGTACTTATTTTTTACCGCGATTCGTTTGCTGCAGTCCCTGGTTTTTAAAAATTTGTGTTGATAAATTTATATTGCCTAGTGTTTTGATGTTGATGACAATTAACACTAAAACTGACTCTTTCGTTACGAATTGATTTCCAAAAATAGCTGCAAATCAAGATAAAAATAGTTTTATTTTACCTGCCCAAAAGTTATAAAAACATACAAGCCGGTATCTATATTATGTGTTTCTATTCCTTCCTATCCATCGCATTGCAAGGACTTAAGTCCTTACTGCCCCCTCATTCCGAAATCTTTAGTAAATGCTCTGCCCAAACTTTAACCTTCTATAACTCTAACAAAACTAAACGCCTTATGGTTGCTCAGAGTTTAGAAAAGTATGTGCTTCAAATCCTTAAATTTTTGGTCTAAGTCCTCCCAGCAGGCTCTTACTGCGATATGCGTCCATAGGAACTGAGCGACAAACAAGCGTACATTGCCCAAACACAATATACCCATTGGGAGTAGAGAATAAAAAGAAATGATTTCTTAATAAATCATTCAGTTCCACAAGTAAAAAGAAGTTAAATTATGCCAGTACAGTTCTGTATTATGTGCCAAATCAATATAAGAACTCATTGTTTGGAAAATGGCAAAAATCATACGCACCATGGTCCAAGCGTTTGCCAAAGCTTCAATGCGTAAGCAAAAAAAACGAGTATTGGGGTCAAGGATATTAGGCACAAGCAGGTGGGAGGTCAAAGGGAAAAGTAGCGTAGTATTTTCGGCAACTAAATTAAATGTGATTTAGGCATTTGCTTGTGACCAACAAGCTAAAAAGGAGGTTAAGTTAAATTGCCAACAAATTAAAAAGGAGTCATAATGCGCCCCTGGAATTCCCCTTGAAGTTTGTGCCAATAGAAAATAGCGCATACTGCCGGTAATGGGAATTTCACAGATTTCCGACCAGGGCTTGGTCTAACATATTGCTCGCTTCTGAGCAATTGATATTAATTTATTGGCCGTGCTTTAAATCGGCATCGCGTGAAAACATTTGTGCGCCCAGAAATTAGCATGAATAGCTATCAGCTTGTTGCAAGTCGCACCCAGTGCAAGGTGCAGTTTTGGATAATAGAAATTAGATTGAAAGCCCGGCCAGGCCAAATATGATTCTGGGTTTGGTACCGCTGATTAAGGTCAGCACAGCGATTACGCTAGGAGTGTGTGGGTGTGGAGCAAGGAAACCCAGCCCCAAAAGGCTTTCAAGCCGCAACGAGTGCCTAAAAGCTTAAACTATTTGCGAATTGCAATTCCCAACTATTTCTCTTGCACTGAGAAGCAGAAGAAGTTGCCCGGCGTCGCCAGGTCAACCGGGCCGTCCGATACTTTCACGCCAACTACTTTAAAACATTTTCCTGAGTTAAATGATGTTCTTTGAAATGTTAAAATTAGGAACAAATTAGCAAATACTCGATTTAGGTACATACATCTCTTTTTTTTGGAAACTGCGGCTGTTTAAGAATAGTTCTTGTGTTAAGAATTTCGTGCTTGGCTTAAGCACTTCGACCTTGGCCGAATATTGACAACGTTTGAGATTTGGGCACAAAAGTCTCGGTATATATTCTTCAGGCTGATATTCTGCAACAGAAAAAGAGAGACACGCAGCTGAAAAAAAAAAAACGAAATTCATATCTATAGCCATAGAATGTCAGTCTAAAAACAACAACAACAACTGGTGGGCCGCAACGCCAGTGGCAAGTTTTCATGTCCAAGGCGTATTTATGTCAACCGGAAGTAGGTTTACTGACCCACGTATACGTTTCAGCGACGGGCAGCCGACCGACTCCGGTGGCCACTTCGGCTGCCCAATAACATTCAGAGGCACAACAACTGGACACATCAAAGAAACGCTGCCTTAGCTTCGCCGGCCAGGAGGACGACGACGACGACGACGGCGGCGACGACGACAACACGTAGTATAAGAAGGCATTTTCTTTCAGCGGTTTAGTTTTCCAACGAACGGCAAGTGCATCGGATCGATGCGAGAAGCGCGTTGTGCTCTGCCTCTTAATTCGATTTAAATAATTGTATGTACACACACACACACACACACACACACACACACACACACACACACACACACACGCACACAATCCTGCCACATTTTAAATAAGCATTGCTCCACATTCAAGTGTAGCCTAAGGTGTAATATTTAACAAAGGAAGCCCAACTGAAATCTAAATGCGTCAATTGAAAAGTCCTGAATTAAAGCCTGCATAAATTAAATGGTCAATAAGTCGAAAAGAATGTTAAAAAGAAAAACTTGCAATCGAATATAACAAAGCCTAAATCCCAATACTAAAGTGTTTAAATCTTAAAGTGAAACAAAAAACGTAAATGTTTGATTTGAGTGAAAATTTGTAATCGAAATTTGAATCGAAATAAAGAAGCAAACCTTATATAAAAAAACTGTTGAATTCCCTTTAAAGCAAATCTTCAATTCTTCTAAAAATTTTTTGTTTTTATAATTTCTTAACAAAAAGCAACATAAATAACAAATTGCTCGAGGAGAAAAACTAAAACTTGAAATAACGATTTTTTAAAGCGAAACCAAATAAAAGAATATAAATTCGGCAATAAAGTTATATATATAAAACATAATTTTACCCTTTTTACCCATTTTCAATGGGTTCAGCGTATAAAAAACAAACAAAATTCCTCAAGTTTAAAGCTGAAAATCGAATATTCAGAATTTAAATGAAAGTAACAAAATTTTTCAATTCTTAAAGCAAAAGAAAATTGCCAAGTCTTAAGCTGAATGGAAATTTGCCATCACGACACTAACCAAGGATTTTCTTTTAGCCAAAACGCCTAACGGAAAACTCT